GGAATAACAAGTGAAATATCTACTAAAGCAAAGCTTAAGTATATAACACCAACAATATTTAAATATAGTGGATATGTATAAGTTATTATTAGTTAATTTATGTATTTAAATGTTTTAAAATGGCTAAATATTTAATTAATAATTTTCTTTATGTTTATAATTTAATATACAAATATTATCTATAATTTAGAATATTAATAAATTAATATTGATCTAACCGGTTCAACTACTGATTGGACTAGTTAAACCAGACCCAGTAGGTTGGCCGGTTTTTTAGAACCAAACCTTCACTTTCTATTGAAAAAAAAAATATTGTTGGTAGTTTGAGGAATCTATCATTATATTAAAAGAATAACATTTTTATGATTTCCCGCCAAAATCATTATTTTCCCTCCGAAATAATACCCGCCAAAATCATTATTTTCTTTCTAAAATCATTAAATACCAGCTAAAATCATTATTTTCCCTCTAAAATTATTAAATAAACAGTGATATAGTGTTAACAAAAAGCGCTGGTTTTTGTGATGTTCTTTTTCCTATTTTTTTAGGTTAACAAAATAATACAGTTTTTGTGATGTTTTTCTTTTTCCTATTTTTTAGGTTAACAAAATAATAGATATTGTGTTGATTTGTTTCCAAACATTATATCTGATTTAATGTGTAGATATTTATTTTTTTTTTCCTTTCTTTTGACCGAAGTTGTTTATTAAATTAGCCTTATAATATTTTAGTTATTTTAAACAAATTGTTTAGACATTTGTTTTTTTCTACATATTCGTCTATATATACACATATACACATATACATAATTGATGTTAAATTTAATTATTTGTGGACATGTTTTTTTTTTACAAAATAGTCTAGAATTTTTTTTTTTTTTTTACATTATGTTAAATTCAAATGTTATTAGATATGTTTTCTTTCTAAAATTGTTTAGAAAAGTTGTAGGTGACTTCATATCTTTTATATATAATATAGAAAATTTTGAATACTTTTACATATACTAATATAATATTTTAGGTGTTTTTAATATTAAACATACACATTTTATATTCTATTATACAGAATAATATAAAATTTATATTCTCTTATACAAAATAATTTTACATTGTCTGACCCCGACACTTTAATATATAATTATTATTTTTTTCTTCATCTTTTTAAATAGGATCAATAGTAGTTTCCACTTCCGCCATTGAATGAGTCAAACGCAATTCTACCTTTTTCTTTTTGTTTTTTTTTTTTTTAA